CCCCCCCGTCTGGCCCCTGTGTCTCCTCAGTCTGGCCCCTGTGTCTCCTCAGTCTGGCCCCTGTGTACCCTTAGTCTGGTCCAAGTGTCCACTTCAGTTCGGCCCCTGTGTCCTCTCAGTCCGGCCCCTGTCTCTGCCCTGTATTTCCCCTTCAGTCTTGCCACTGTGTCTCTCCTCAGTCTGGCACCTTTGCCTCCTCTCAGTTTGGTCCCTGTGTCCCCTCTGTCTGGCTCCTGTGTCTACCCTCTGTCTGGCCCCTATGTCTCCCCTCAGTGTGGTCGATGAGTCCTCTCAGTTTGGCCTCTGTGTCCCCTCAGTCTGGCCCCTGTGTCCCCTCAGTCTGGCTCCTGTGTCCTCTGTCTGGCCCTGTGTCCCCTCCGTCTGGCTCCTGTGTTCTCTGTCTGGCTCTGTGTCCCCTCAGTCCAGCCCCTGTGTCCCTTCAGTCTAGTCCAGGTGTCCTCTCAGTTTGGCCCCGGTGTACTCAGTCTTGCCCCTGTGTCTCCCCTCAGTCTGGCTCCTGTGTGTCCTCAGTCTGGCCCCTGTGTCCTCCCAGTCTTCCGCCTGTGTCTCCCCTCAGTCTGGCCCCTGTGTTTCCTCTTGTTCTGGTCCATGTGTCCTCTCAGTTTGGTCCCTGTGTCCTCTCAGTTTGGCCCATGTGTCCTCTCAATCTGGCCCCTGTCTCTTCCCTGTATTTCCCCTCTGTCTTGCCCCTGTGTCCCCTCAGTCTGGCCCCTGTGTCTCTGCTCAGTCTGGTCCCTGTGTCCCCCCTCATTCTGGCTCTTGTGCCTTCTCAGTCCGGTCCCTGCGTCTCCCCTCAGTCCGGTCCCTGCGTCTCCCCTCAGTCTGGTCCCTGCGTATCCCCTCAGTCTGGTCCCTGCGTCTCCCCTCAGTCTGGTCCCTGCGTCTCCCCTCAGTCTGGTCCCTGCGTGTCCCCTCAGTCTGGTCCCTGCGTGTCCCCTCAGTCTGGTCTAGGGCTGCAGCTATCGATTATTTTCATAATCGATTAGTTAGCCGATTACTAAGTTTGATCGGATAAAAAAAAAAAAAGGCTCCAGTGATGGACTACTAGTTTCTATTGCGATTGTAGTCCATCACGGGAGCAAGCTTGGCGCGGTGGAAGTAAAAAAAAAAGTGTGGTGTGCAATATAGTACATTATACAGCGGCGCAGTGCAGAATACCAGCAGCTATAGAGGAATGCAGCAATAGTACATTATACTATAATGTACTATTGCTGGGATTTGTAGTCCTCTGTAGCTGGTGTTATTCTGCATTGCGCTGTATATAATGTATTATTGCTGGGATTTGTAGTCCTCTGTGGCTGGTGTTATTCTGCATTGCGCTGTATATAATGTATTATTGCTGGGATTTGTAGTCCTCTAGCTGGTGGTATTCTGCAATGCGCTGTATAATGATTATATGGCGAAATGCAGAATACCAGCAGCTACATAGGAATACAACAAATGCCAGCAATAGTACAACATTATACTATAATGTACTATTGCTGCGATTTGTAGTCCTCTAGGTGCCATTCTGCATTGCTCTGTATAATGATTATACTGCGCAATGCAGATTACCACTGACCAGTTATAGAGGACTACAAATCCCAGCAATAATACATTATACAGCGCAATGGAGAACACCAGCA